GCGTCCGTTGCCCGATCAGTGGGGTTTTCTGATCATCGACGCTTGTTGGCGCGCCGCCGCCGTTCCCCCTGCTTTGGTTTTCACTGCCGCTGGACCGAAACGCAACATATACGATCCGTGTTGTTTCGCGCTGCCGCGTGCAAGGGGGGCGCGCGCCAGCATCTTGGCGCGCCGATCGCGCGCGCGCGCCAGCGCTGGCGCGCGTTTTTCTTGCACGCGCGACTGAAGCAAGGCGCCCATCGTATATGCTGCGTTTTTCTATTGGTTCGCGGGGGCACCAAGTCGCGCTCGAAGAATATATGCGACGCGGAAACTCTGCCAGACATCCGCAGGCATTTGAACATGCCCGAAACCATCATGGTTGATTGCCTGAAGACGTGCTCGACGGGCGCGCAGCGCAGAAATCAAGGAACAATGGTGGAAACAAAAAGCCCGCGTTTGTTGACCGACAATAGGGTTTGATTCGTTCGCGAGGATGTTCCCCTTCATTGCTCAGGGCCGCTCTGCGGCTCCGCGGCGCAGGCAAAAAAAAATGAGCATCACGTGTGCCAGGTGTGCACGGGCAGGGGGGTGGCTTTGGGTGCGATGGCCGCCCGCAAGCAGTTATCGTGGCAATGCGCCGCTGGGTGCCTCGGAAGAGGTGGGCGAACCCGAGTCCGACCTCCCAGAGGCGGGCATCGACCAGCGCTGTGGTAGGGAACCGTCGCGTGCCGAGAAAAACGCACACCCAAAGTTGGCGCGCACACGAGTTACGTATAGGGAGCCGGATTCCCGAAGGGTCACGAGGGCTTTGCGGGCCACGGGTAACCTAGCGCCCTTCAGCATGTGCACCCCGCGGCGCGGACAACGGCACATGGCAGATGTGTGGCGATCTTGGCGGCCCCTGCGTGTCGCGCCAACGGTGCTCAGTCGCCGGATGCAATGTGCACTGCCGTATCGCAGTTTGCATGTCAAATCCAGTTTTTGTTCCAATCTGGTTGTGTTGGTTACATTACTGACGCTTCGCAAATCCCCATTGGCCACTCCAGAAACGAATCCCCAAAGGGGGTTGTGGAGCCACAGGAGGAAGAACAACAGAAAGTGCAACAGCAGGGCCTTCGCAGGTGCATTCAAAACCCCCCGGGGGGGCCTGCAGGCATTTTGGGGCAACGTTTGAATTATATTGCGGCTCAGCTTGGGGGCATCTGCGTCTTGAATTCTTTGGGGCCTTTTTGAAGATTTGTCGAGGCCTCTCGTGGCTATGTTGATGAAGGTTTCAGATGACGCATGGAGCGCTCCAATGTGCAGTGCCTGCGTGGATCCAGGAAGTATTGTTGGAGTGCGTTCATTGCGTAGTGTGTTGGGTGTTCAGTTGGGCTTCCAGGGTTGCCTTGGGGCTTTCTTGGGCCACTCTTGGGCTCTCTTGGGCGATCTTGGGCTATCTTGGCGCCCTCGGGATATGATCAAAAGATGAAGCAACGAGAACGCACATAAACATCATTGGGTGGCATGTGCGTTTGAACGACCTACGCCTCACAGGGGGCATCCTCGAGCGGTTCCGCGGCCACTTGGAACCGTCTCGCGGCCTCCCAAGTGCTTTTTGGAAGCGCATTCGGGGCCTTAGTTGTCCAAGTTGGCCTTTGCTGCGCCGTGTTGATGGCCGTGTTCGACCGCCTGGAGCCATCTTGGGGCAATGTAGGGTCACTTGTTGATTTCTTACGCCTTGCGAAGCCTGGTGCCGACCCCAGGGGAACGAGTGGGGCGCAGTCAAACTTCTCCCGAGGGGAATCCATGGGGATTGGAGGAAAGTTGCCCTACAAACCTCCTGCGCCTGGAGGGTTGGCAGGACTCAGTCGACAGTGCAACCAGGGGAAGCTATTCCGTGCGTTTCTTGTCTTTTCTGCATTGTTATTGTCATTTCTCTCCTTCTCTATCGACCCCTTCGTCACCTTTTCGTTGTTCGCGACCTTTGTCCGCCCCATTTTACGATCGTCTTCGTCATCATCGTTTTGTGTCTCGTCTTTGTTCCCTTTGTCCCGTCTCCTCTCCCCCATGTTTCCCCGGCCTACTTTCGCACTTGCTCGTCTCCCTTTCTCTTGCTTCCTCCCCCGCCCCCTGCTCCCCCCCTTTCCGCCCTTTATGTTTTTGGCTTCTCATTCCCCACCCCCTCCCTCCCTCCCTCCTGTTCCGTCTGAGCGGCCGCATGCCCGCCAGCTGGCCCCGTTCTCTCATGGGAGGCCACGGGCAACGCATTTCAGTTGGTTTTCGTGTTGCACGCGTTGGTCTTGGAGCGCCCATGGCGCCACTCCGCGTGTCCATCCGAGTTCTAAAACATTTGGGATGTTGGGCGGCCACCGAGAACGGTGGGGTAGTATAAGATATTTCGGCAGACTGCGTGGAACCCACTGCGGGCTGAGAAAAGCTCGCAAGAGCCAACCCCTGTTTTTTCCGACGTAAGTGTGGTATGTTGGTTTGTGATATCGTTGGTGTCGCCAGTCGAAGTCGCAACGGCGTTTGTCTGAAGATGTGGACGTGCCTACTGTCCGCATGGGCCACACGCGTCCTCGCGACCCAGCCCGCGAAACGGCCTCACCGACAAACTTTAGACGCTTCGCGTAACCTCGGCAGCCCATCCAGAAACGATGCTCAGACGAGTTGCCCTGATCAGGCATGCGGAGGAGCATGCAGTGGAATAAGGGGTTGGGTTATACGAATACGTCATACCCCAAAAGGGGGAGGATGGAGGATTAATCGGAGGAGCAGGAGGAGGAGGAGGAGCAGGGAAAGGGGAAGGTGGAGGAGGGAGGAGAAAGGAGGAGGAATAGGCGGGTGAGGTAGAGGAGGAGGATGATGGCGAGCAGAATGGCCAGAGGCCTCTTGGATGCCTCTTGGAGTCTCTTCGGATGTTTTTCGAGAGCTTCTTGGTGTCCCCTTGGGGCGTCTTGGCAGTTTCTTGGCAGTCCCGGGTGCCTCTTCGGGAGTCTTCGGTGCCCCTGGGGGTGCCTTTTGGGGCCTCATGGGTGTCTGTTGGGCGCTTCTTGAAAGCATCTTGGGGCCTCTGGTGGCCTCTTGGGGCCTCCTGGGCACCTCCTGGGGCCGTCTTGGGGCGCCCCTGGGAGCCTCGGGGGACATCTTGGACCCATCCTGGAGGAGATCGATCAACGACGGATGCTAGTAAGGTACAGTCTCCCCCCAGGAGGCCAAAATGGGCCCAACGCCTGAGCAACACCATTGATGTTGGCCTTCTCGCCGAGGCCGTCCTGGACGCTCTAACGCCTCGCCGCCCTCCCCCCCCTCCAGGTCCCGGGGGGGAGGTGGGGGGAGTGGTAAACCCTTCCCCGAAAGGGATGAATGGGGGTTGAAACAGCAAACCCCGCAAAACACTCACGCCCTCAAGGGCTGGTGAGATTATCGGCGTGGATTCGCCCTCTGCCGCCGTCCCCTTATCTGATTGCCTCCGTGTCGGCGCTGGTTGGGTTGGTTGGTTGGTTGATTGGTTGGTCGGTTGGCAGGCTGGCAACTCGGTTGTCTGGCCGAGTGTGCACATGTATGGTTGGCAGGTCGATCTGCTGGTTGGGTGGTTGGCTGGTTGGCCAGGCTGCTGGACGGCTTGTTTGTTTGTCGGCAGGGTCCTTGGAAGGAAAAACTGAGCAGGGTAAGGTGAATCAAGGAACGGGTTCCTTGGGGGATTGCGCCCGCGCGCGCATAATGATCATCGTGGCGGTTTTGCCAGGGAGTGCTTGGGAGCGTTTGAGCGCGCCCGCCTGGGATTGCCAGGCGATGGGGAGAGTTTTGGAACGCTTTCAGACGCTCGGGGGCGCTTGGGAACCTTGGGGCCGCCTGAAGACGCTCGGAAGCGTTCGTGGGCGCCTGGGTGCACCCAGGCAGCGCCTGGGAGCTTGGGGCCCCTTGGGAACGCCAGGGGGGGGGCTGGGGAGCGCTCGGGCGCCAGGACTCGCTCGGGAATGCGCGGTCGCCTGGGGATAGTTTTCGCGCGCGCAGCTTGCAGCATTGGCGGTCGCAGTCAGCGGTATGGTTTGCACGCTCCGCGGAATCGCGCGCATTTCCAGGCACCATGTTGCACCCAATTGCATCAAAATGAACAGCGATGACATGCACTCGGCCGCTGCGTGCCCAAGGGCAAACACTGGGTCCACCGCGCACAAATGCGCATGCTCTGGCGCGCGGCGCGCGTAGAGCAGGGTTGGTCGTCGACGCTGCGCCGTCCGCGCTGGCCAGGGGCGGCCAACTATAATGGCATGTTTTTGTGTTTTTATTTGTGTCATTCAAGTCCTCTCTTTCGGCGGCCGAGGGGCCCCTGGCTTTGGGCGACCCAGCCCCGCCGCGCCCCCGGCCGCCATCGCGACCCCGGCCTCGGCCCCTCGGCCCCTCGCCGGATGCGCCGTCAGGCGCCTCCTCGCTGCCGGCAGCGCCGCCGCTGCCCAGCCCGCGCGCGCGCTGGTCGCCCGTCTCCAGGCCGAACTCCTCTTTGGCCCGCTTGGCGCTGCGCTGCCTCAGCTCGGGAACGAAGGCGTCCACGGCCGCAGTCAGCCCGCTGTAGAAGCGCGCCATCTGCCAATTCGGAGCCCCCAGGAATCCTATAGGCGTCGAGGATGGTCTGGAACCGTCTCGCAAGCACTTCGAAACTGGCTAGGGCGGGGGCGTTCACCCGGTCGAACGTCGACGCGTAGAACATCAAATCTACGAGACAGGTCAGCTCGTGCATCACCCTATCGTCCGAGCCCACAACTGCAGCCACAAGCGCGGGTCGCCCTTGCTACGCTCAGTGCGCTTCATCGCCAGCATGTACGTGGACGGGCCCTCCAGGGGCCAATGCTGGTCTGGCACGTGGAAACTCCTGCGCGGCTTTGCGATGAGGCTTGTATCGCTTGCCCTGCTTATCGTAATCAATCCACAAAGTGCGAGCGTCCTCGGTCGGCGGCGGCGGTGTCGCTGCGCCGCCCGCGCCGACGGCGGCCCCGGGGTCCGCCGGCGCGAGCGGCGGAGGCAGAGGAACGCCCTCACCCGCAAGCCGCAGCTGCTCTGCCAGCACCTCACGGCGGGCGCGACGGGCGGCGCCCACCTCCGACAGCGGCACGAGCTCAGCGCGGCGCGCCTGGCAATGGCGGATGATCACTGCGCCATAGTCCGAGAGCGCGAAGTCATCTGGGCCAAGCGCCACCTCTGGCGAGCTTCCCAACGCGGCCGCCCCCCATCAGTAGCCAGACGTGGCCCTCTGGAACGCCCAGCGGCCTGCGCAAGGGATGCGCGGCCGCCAGCGGGGCATCCGCCGGCCCAGGCGCCACGGCCGGGGCAGCGGCTGCTGGGGCCTCCGCGCCCGCGGCGGCATCGGCCGCTGGAGAGCCGCGTCGCAACGGCAGGCGTCGGGGAAGGAAGCGACCGCCAAACGTGGTGTCTAACGGCACCACCTCGCGATCAGACATCACCACGTCCGAGACCTCGATCGGCTGGTGACCTGCCTCAGAGCCTTCCTCCAAAGCTATGCGGCGCCCCTCGCGGATGTAGTCCTTCAAATCTGCAAGGGGCACCGAAGCCGGGAAGCGGTGCACCGGCTTGTCCGGCGGCGGCAGGCGACCTTCCGGGCTGAAGTCCAGGACGCGCGACACGCCGTCGGCGCCCTCGCTGCCGTCCAGCTCCTCCGAGTACATGTCGAGATCGGGGGTCAGGATGACCCACCTGCGATGCGTTTCCGGCCACAGCGCCAGCCTCTCGTGGTACACGTCGTCGGCGTCGTACCAGTCCAGGAAGTGCTTACCTGGAAGGAGGCGCTTCCTGCACGCCTCGCCCGCGCCGTGCCCAACGAGCGCCATGATCTCCGCGGGCTCGCCCGCAGATCCTGAGCAGCAGCCTCCAGACTGCCGCGTACGCCGACTGGGCGACCCAGCTGACGAGCCCGATGATGAGCACCTCTTGAGGGCTCAGCTCGTCCGGGGGGGCAGGGCGCCGCCCCCGGGCACCTCGGGCAGACGCGCGGAGCGGCTGGCGGGCACGGCACCGCCTCACTCGCAGCCAGGTGGGTCAGAACACGGACGGCCCGGCGGGCTGGGCGGCTTGTGCAGCCCGACGGACACAACTATCGCGGCAATGGGCCCGCTTCAGAAAGCAGCGTGGCTCGCCGGGCGCATGCGACTCAAGGCCGTAGGTCGCAGAGGAACATTCGAGCCAAAAAAGACCAGCTACCGAGAGCTGAGAACTCACACCACCAATCCCTAAACAGCGCAAGCACAGCGGCGCGAGGACCCCCAGGGATCGAGGCGCGATTATCCAGACGTCCGCACACCGAGAGAGAACAAGGGGACCACGACAGGCACGTTCCTAGCATCTTTGTTGCGCCCGCACCCCATCATCATCATCATCATCATCATCATCATCATCATCATCATCATCATCATCATCATCATCATCATCATCATCATCATCATCATCATCATCATCATCATCATCATCATCATCATCATCATCATCATCATCATCATCATCATCATTATCATCCGCGTGCTCCTCCTCGTTCTACTCGTCCTCCTCCTCCTCCTCCTCCTCTGCCTCCTCCTCCTCCGCCGCCTCCTCCTCCTCCACCTCTATCCTCCTCCTCTTCATATCCTCCTCCACCTCAAAGCATCATCCTTATCCTCCTCCTCCTCCTTCTCCTCCTCCTTCTCCTCCTCCTATTATTACTGTTATTATTAGTACTGGTCTTCTTCTCCATGTTTTTAATGCCAATATTAGTATGAGCCTTATTCGTCTTACTACTATGATTCTTGTGATTATTAACACTGGTAGTATCATAGCTATTCTTCTGAGTATTCGTAGTATTCGTCTTCTTCTTTGTACGAGTAGTATTCCTATTCGTCTTCGCATTATTCTTCGTATTGCTAATATTAATATGTTTAGATCCTCCTCCTCCTCCTCCTCTTCCTCCTCCTCTTCCTCCTCATTTTCCTCCTCCTCCTCTTCCTCCTCCTCCTCCCCCTCCTCGTCCTCCTCCTCCTCCGCCTACGCCTCCGCCTCCGCCTCCGCCTCCGCGTCCTCCTCATCCCCCTCGTCCGCCGCCGCCTCCCCCTTCTCCGCCTTCCTCCTCGTCCCCCTCCTCCTCCTGCTCCTCCTCCTCCTCCTGGAGCGTCGTCATTGACCGATCCCCACCCCCACCGGCGCCAAACAGCCCACCAAGCGAAGCGTTCGCCCGTACCTTGGGCTGCCTGTTTTACTTATTGCGCACGGCGCTTCGTCTCCCTAGCCGAACAGCTCGGACCGCGCATGTTCGCACGACCGTCAAAGGAAACCCATTTGTGGGTAACCATTTTCCCTGCCTCCCCCCCCCCCTGCCATCGTTCCCTCCTCCTCCCCGCCCTTCTGAAGAGAAGGCGCGTCGCGCGCCGCGCCCCTCACCAGTCGTTCTCGTAGGTGTCGAGCCGCTTCCTCAAAGCACGCCTGACTTTCACGTGTTCCCGGGCCTCGGCTTTCAGGGCGCTCAGCTGTTGGTTCAGCATCTTCTTTTCGCTCTCCCACTTCGCCCTCTTCTTCTCCCACTTGGCGTCTGCGATGTCCGTGGCCCGCTCGAGTTTCAGAGTGAGGTTCACGATCCCTTTTTCGAAGGGTGACGATGCTCGGCAACGTCGTCGTCGCCGATTTATCCCCCAGGTTTGGATGGAGGCTGTTCCCTCCGGGTTTCGGAGGAGGAGGAGGAGGAGGAGGAGGAGGAGGAGGAGGAGGAGGGGGAGGGGGAGGAGGAGGAGGAGGAGGAGGAGGAGGGAGGAGGAGGAGGAGGAGGAGGAGGAGGAGGAGGAGGAGGGAGGAGGACGGGGAGGAGGAGGAGGAGGAGGAGGGGGAGGAGGAGGAGGAGGAGGTAGAGGAGGAGGAGGAGGGCCCGTCCCCGCCCATTTGCCGCCCCCGCCCCTGCGCGTCCAGCGGGCCCCCCGCGGGGGCCCTGTCGCGGGAGCCCCCGGGCCCGGGCCCCCCGCAGGAGACGTGCGCGTCCCGCCCGCACTCCTCCAGCACCTCCCCGCGGGCGGCGCGGCCCCAGGGCTGCCCCGGCATCCCGCGCCTGCTTCTCGTCGGCGTTCTCCCTCTCCCCGCCCCCCCCTCTCCTCTCTCCCCCCATCCCGCTCCCTCTCCCTCCATCCCCCTCCCTCTCCCCCTCCCTCTTGCTCTCTCGCGTTTTGCGCATTCTCTCTCGCTCTCTCTCTCTCTCGCCCTCACGCTCTCAGTCGCTCTCTCTCTCTCTCTCTATGTATATATATATCGTGTTTTCTTGGTTTCTCCCTGTCGTTGTTTGCTTGTCTCTCTCCCTATCCCTCTGCTTATTATTGTTGTTGCGTGGTTTCTCTCTCTCTCTCTCTCTCTTTCTCCCTCTCTCTCTCTCCCTCTCCATCTTGAAAACTATCCGTGCTTCTCCCCCCTTCCACCACAGGGGAGAGGGGAGTGGGAAGAGACGAATGAGGCGGCGGAGGCGTAGGAGGGAAGAAGGAGAGTAAGATCTCCTCCTCCTTCTCTGCGGAAATTCCCAGCAACAGAGTGCTCTCATTTCCAGCTGAACCATCCAACCACCCCCACTTCAATGCAAGCAAAACTCGGGAACAACACGGATAGGGTCGCATACGGAAAGCGTCTGATGCAGGACGCCCGCTTCGGGACGGGGCGAGTTGGGAGTGCGGCTTCGACAGCTCTCCTCACCCAAGAGACGCCCTGATCTACGCTCCCCTCCGCGCAAGAGATTCTTATCAGGAGCAGAGAGGCACATACAGTATTCGGCCTGACCTAAGGAACGATACATAAGGAACGAAACCCCATTTTTTCCAAGGAAGTCTGCGAAGTCCGAGGGAACGCCAGGGGGGTTCGCTATCAAAAAGGTACCGGAACGCATGCAAACCAAAAGAACGACCGCGCCTCTTTTGAAAAGTAAGTGTTCCTTATTCAAGCCGGACCCTGTGGGGGGGAGCGATCGAAAGAAAGGCACAGCGAACGACCTGTGGCAGCATGCGCTGGCCGAGAAGAGCGGCCCGTTTTCCACCACCACCACCATAAGTTGGAGGGGGTGGGGGAAGAGGACGAGGAGGGGAAGGAGGAGGAGGAGGAGGAGGAGGAGGAGGAGGAGGAGGAGGAGGAGGAGGAGGAGGAGGGGGAGGGGAGGAGGAGGAGGAGGAGGAGGAGGAGGAGGAGGAGGAGGAGGAGGAGGAGGAGGAGGAGGAGGAGGAGGAGGCCCTCCCCTCCAACTTATGGTGGTGATGGTGGAAAACAGGCCCATCAAAGGGGTCCCCAATGCGATCTGGGCAGCCGGATCCCGCGTGCGCCCCCCCCTGGCGCCACGCAGTCTGCGTTAGCCACGTGCTCGAGGCAGACGCTGCACCGCTGGGTCCTGCCGACAAGCCAAAACTGGGGGAGCTGTGGTCCTTACCCCCCCAGGGGAACCCATCGCATCGACGATCTCTCGAGAGGTGTGTCGAAACCGATGGGTCCCCCAGGGGGGTAAGGATCACAGCTTCCCCAGTTGTGGCTGGCCTGTCCTGGTCAGCAGCCTCAAGGGCAAAGGAGCCCGCAGTGCCACCAGCGCAGCAGCGGTGGAAGCCGGCGTCCTTTGGAAGAAGCAGCGGTGGAGTTGTTCCCCCCTCTCTTCCCGACACACATCTGCCCCTCACCAGCACACTTCCCGGTGCCTCTCCTGTGGTCAGCTGAACCGCAAGATGCCCAACGGGGCAAGGCCAATCGATTCGGACAGCACACAACACGTTGACACAAGGAAACCAATTGCTTTCGAATATGGCAGCACCGACAGGGGACAGAAAACTGTGGAGGGTACTGCCACTACCATGTGACAGAACATCTGCCGGTCTGACCATAAAGAAAGAGCCCGAGAACCGCCCTAAAACGACCCCATGGGCCCAAGCTCACCGTGACTGACCCCAGCAGTCCCTCCTCCTCTCCTCCTCCCCCCCCCCCGCCTCGCCAGCACACCCGACAGTCCTTCTCCCAACCCGCTTCTTGACTGCACACGGCACCGAGGCCCGGTGAGGGCCCGCCGAGGCCGAAACCGAAAGGTGAGCGTTTTCTTCTTGCTCATTCGGCGCTTCGACTTTGGGCGGAAGGTGGGGGGGGGAGGGTGGGGGGGTCTGGCTCCGGACCCCTGCTCAGTGCGACTGCTTGCAGCAGTGCGTCCTGCTGGGGAGGACTCCACCTGCTCGAACCAGGCGCCAAAAACAGCCGAGATCTGCTCCAGAGGGGGGGGTGGGGGGCGGGGTGGGAGGAGGGGGTGCGAGGGCCCGCGCCGATCGGCGAAGCAATGAGTCAGAAAGCCATCACAGAGCACTCTGCTGCCACCGCTGCCCCACGAAGCGAGGAGGCGCGAGCCCTGCCCATCCCCCACCCCTTCCCCCGGCCGCCTCCCCTTTTCGTGACGTCGCCCTCGTCGTGGCCCCTCCGCTCTCCGAACGTCGCCACCTCCGCTCTCCACGCCGAGCCGACGCGGCCACGCTCGTGGTGATCCGACGACCACCAACCAAAACGTGCGCAGCGTCGCCCCGTTCGCTTCCGCGCCCCCCGCCCCACGCACGTCCGCCCCCTCTCGGCCATCCGGCGTCACGAGCCCTGTGGTGACGCTCGGCGCACGGAACTCGCTGCTCCGTGGCCAGGGCTCCGCTTTTCGCCCCGGGCTGCTGGTCCGATGACGGTGCAGGGCCTCCTCTTCGAGCAGGAGCATCCGCCCCCGTGCCTGCCCCGCAGGGGTGCACTCTGGCCAGAGTCTCGTGGCGAATCCGGCCGCGGCGACGAGGGCGCCTCAGGAAGCCTCAGAGAAGCGAAACGCTTCCAACACCCGCATCCGACTCTCTCCTCTACAGTAGGAGCTCGACCACAAGAAACCTTCCACGAGACACCCAACCCTGAGACCCCAGGACGCCCATGGATTGTTGCCTCGGGAGCGCCACGCTTTCCATCGCCGAGCCATCGAAACCCAAGAACCCCAAGGCACCCTGGAAGCAAACAAGGTGTCTCTTGGCACGGGATTCCACTCTGAGGGGGCAGCAACTACCCTGAGGTCGGGCACGTCCCCCTACAAGCGGATTTGAGACGAAATACTAAGACTACCCCAAATTGTTCAAAAGTATTTTAAATACTAAAACAACATCGTCCCAAGACTATGTTTCTACTATGTCTGAACATTCCTCCTGTAGAGGGACAAGCCCGACTTAATAAAACCCTGAACCGACCGGGGCCGAGCCGAACCCAGGCCCGTGATCGGTGCGTACGCCCTCCTAGCATGGCCAGGGGACGCTGCACGGCAGGCTCGTGCCTCGAGCGATGCCGCGGCTTCCCGATGCCGCGGACGGATCGCTCGATGTCGACTGGCTCTGGACACATCGCGTCACAGACGCATCACCGCGGGCGCAAGCCTGACGCACGCGCCGATCCTGGGCCATCGGGTTGAAGCGGGCGCATCAACCATCTGTCGCCCTCGGATTCGGCGCTTCAAAGATGGGGCCAGATGGGGCCCTGCAGGAGGGGGCCCTAAGGACGAGAGGCCTGAAATAGTGAAGGGTCCAGCTTGGGACCCCTTTCCAAGCCCCTTGGGTGAGGGGCAACGTTTGGAGGAGTGAGGGGCTCTTGGGGGGGGGGGACGGGGGGGAAAACATCAACATGTAATTGGCGATACACCGCCGACAGATCTCGTCCTGGGGGGAAAGCCCCAGTGTCCAGGACACGTTTCCCTCAGGACCCGTCTGACCCCGATGGCGAGAGATCGGATCGAAGATGAGGGGCGACAATAATCGGGGGCGGCCAAGAGGGGGGCATCAAAGAGGGAGGGGCGCAAATCATGGCCAGCGGCATGTGCGCGGCCCAGGAGGGGGGGGGGAAAGGAGCGTAATGAAACAAGAAGAGGCGCCATGAAATCTGGGTAAATATCACGGCCCACGCAATGATATCCATCCCCCCCTAGTCATCCCCCCCCCTCTTCGCCGCCCCCGAGAGAAGGGGGGACTGGCTCAGGAGGGAAAACATCGACCTGGAATCGGCGACATGTGGCCGACAGATCGGCGATCGGCCCCCGAGAGCGAATCCGCAAACTACCCAGACCCCCGACATCATGATTTTTTCAGGACGTCTACCCCGAGAGTCAGGCGATCGCAAACATGGATCATGGGGGCGTGAATTAGCGACGGGTCCCGCTGACATGGGAGATCGCGGATTTCCGCCGCGGGCCGCATCTTGGGGGAGGGCACGTCCCCCGATCCATGGATTTGGCGGCCGCGCGCCCAATCCATGGGTCGCTAATCCATGTTTGCGCGCCCCCGACAGGACCACCCAAACGCAGCCCCAAAGGCACACATGTCGGGCCCCGGGGGGGGGTTAGAGTTCCACGCGTGCTTTTGTTCAGGGCTCCCCGACGCGCCCCCTCAGCTGGGAAGGGACGGCAAGACTGGAGCCGCCGAGCGGTCCTGGCATCCCCAGACGCCCGTGACGCAGGCGGCGTATGGGCCCCACCAGCGGATGCCCAACAAAAACGGAAACCGTGGATGGGCACCTACATGCGCCGGTGGCAACTTATCTTGCTGGGCCTTTCGAATCGACGCTGGTCGACGCTGAATCGATTCTAATCGACGCGAAGTCGACGCGAAATCGGCGCTACCCCATCGATGGCCCGACGCTAATCGACGCTAATGCATCCTAAGAGCGAAGTTGCGAGGCTACATAGGGCTCCCATGATTCGCTACCGAAATACGCGAACCCTACCCATGCAGCTCCGAACACCAGGTGGGCTTCAGAATCTGACGGACGTCTGCAGCCAAGTGACCGCCGGAGTGTCCCATACCCCAGGTGCTGGCTGAACCCGCAGCGGTGGGGTTCGCCAATGGCCGCAGAATTGAAGACCCCAAGCGCTACTCCTTCGTGGCCTTCTCCCGTGGCGCCAGAATGCCTGCCAGGTCGGACGAAAAGAAGGGGGGGGGATAACAAACAAACGGAGGGGTCATAGCAAGTCAGCTGGCCGCAGCCGGTTTTCCTGGCGCCCGAGGCGCCCACGCACATCGGCCAAAAAAACACTGGCGCCGTCGCCACTGGTGGCGGTCGTCATCGGTGTCGTCGGTGTCGTCGGCGTCGTGGGTGCCTGCGTCGTCGTCGTCGTCGTCGTCGTCGTCGTCGTCGGCGTCGGCGTCGGCGTCGGTGTCGGCGTCGGTGACGGCGTCGGCGTCGTCGTCGGCGTCATCGGCGTCGGGGGTGCCGTCGTCGTCGTTGTCGTCGTCGTCGTCGTTGTCGTCGTCGTCGTCGACGACGTTGTCGTAGTCGACGTCGTCGTCTTTGTCGTTGTTGTCGCGCTCGCCAATTGATAAACAAAACAAAAATAAACAAACATAAGAGTGAGGGGGCCGAACAGTCATTCAGCCCCTGGGCGCGAGGCTGAAGTGAGGTCCTGCGGTGCGGATTGTTGATATTATTGTTGTTATTGTTGTTTTTGTTGTTGTTCTTGTTATTGATGGTTTTTGTTTGTTGTCGTCTCCCCCGCGGCCTGGCCTGCGACCCACCCGCGACCCACCTGGGACCCAACCGCGACCACCCGCGACCCCTACCGTGACCCACCCGCGACCCGCCCGCGACACACCCCGCGACACACCCACATTGCTTTAATGAATAAATCGGCGCCTGCGGCGGGCTCACTGGATAATGTGTAAAACTTAAGCGCCTGCGGCGGACAACTTCAGAGCCTCGCAGACTGCCGACGAAGTTGCCGCCCCCTCACTCTTATCCGCAACTGCGGGGTACCCCTAACCCTTTGGGAGGGAACCCAAGTTCGGAGGGCCAAAAAGCATTAGGAATAGGGAGGAGTCTTTGTCTAGGACAAACCTCCCAGATCTATCATCCCTAATGCTAAGGCGGGGACCTCAATGAGGCTACGTCTTCATCGTGTTATTAGGGCTAGGGGTCCTTTTACCCTCGATGCCCGTATCCCCTCATGTCCGGACATCCGACGCCGTGATTGGCGTCGACCCTTCCCTATCAACGATCTGCATCTGCTGTCCGCCCCGAGCCGCTCCCTGACGAGCCAGGGCTCCCCTCTGGGGCGAGAGCTGCCACAAACCTCCCGTGGGGATTTCCACGACGGGAGCGTGTCAGGACCTCCCAGCCCCACCCTCAGACGAAGCCAGGACGAGGATAACATCGGGGGAGGATAAATCGAGAATCTATGAGATCTGGCGGCTCTGGAGGATGTCTTGCGCGCCGCGGCCTTCTCAGAGCGATCCGGAACGCTCTGAGAGCGTTCTGGAACGCTTTGGAACGGACTTATCCTCGTCCTAGCCCCGTCCGACAGCCCCGGGGGAGGCAGGGTTCACTTCGCTCGGGAGGTCCCGAGCGAAGTAAACCCCGCCTCTCCCCTCCGAAATCGTGGGGTGGTGGGGTAGCTAGGGCTCCCAACTTCGCGCTTCGCGCTGCGCGAAGCGCGAATAACTTCGCGCTCTCGCGCCGCCCTCCCAAAGGGAGAATAGGAGGACGAGGAGGAGGGGGAGAAGGAACGAGGACCGCGAAGCGCGAATAACTTCGCGCCCTCGAGGGAGCCCTTGGGGTAGGGTCCGCATGTGGCCTCCTGCATCTCCGGAGTCCCGAAGCGGTGCGGTGACGGACCGTGCGGTGACCTCGGAGGCCCCCAAGACCTCACCGCACGGTCCGTCACCGCACGGTTCTGGGACCCTGGAGGCCCCTGTCGCCTGAGACTTCCTCGGAGAGGGACTCGAGTCCCAAACCCTGCGGAAATTCCAAATCCCCACCGACTCACCACACGGTGTGGTCGCCACACCGTTTGGGGCCCCCCCGAACATCCCAGCCCCCCCCAAAGACGAAACCGGGACCGGGACAACGTCAGACCAGGACGTATCGGGGACCTCTGAGAGCTGGCCTTAGGTCGGGCATGCCCAGGAGGGGGATCAGCGAGGAAGGGGCGGGCCCCCAGAAGGGGATCAGCGAGGAAGTCCCCCAAGACCTCACCGCACGGTCCGTCACCGCACGGTTTTGGGACTCGTG